ACTCCAGTCTGAGCGACAGTGAGACTCCAACTCAAAAAAAAAAAAAAGAAATGCATATGAATGCTCCCATGCATGGCAGGGTTTAAACTAAATGCATTAATAGCAATTCAAGCATTCCAGTAAAAAGACAGTATCAAGACAAGATAAAAAAGGAAGTTCTAAATATATGTTCTATACAAGAAACACACTTTAAATGTAAACATAGATGGGTTGGAAGTTAAATGAAAAGAATGTATACCACACAAATACTAATCATAAGAAATCCTGTGTGCCCAAATACTAATCATAAGAAATCCTGTGTGCCCATATGAATAAAAGACAACACAGGCTAAGATAAAGAGAAATTCTAGAGATAAAAGAGATCAATTCATCTAGAAGACACAGGAATTTCAACATAGATTTAATAACAACATTTCAAAATATATAAAGCAAATATTGACAGAACTAAAAGAGGAAAGACACAAATCCACAAAGTTGGAAATCTTAACAACTTTTGCTCAGTAATTGACAGAAAAAGTACACAAAACATTCAGTATATTAATACAGAAGATTTATACACCACTGTATCAAGTACCTTGACCTAATTGATGTAGCTATAGAATACTACACCCAACTGTCAAGAGCTAAGCTGAACTGGAGAGAGCTGAGCTGAGACGTGTCAGAATAGCTGATAAAGACAACGAGCCTTTAATCACTTACTAATCACTTAATATAAGAGGCTAACCCAGAGGAAGCACTAAATTCTCCAATATTTCATTTTCCTCCATGGAACAGCCAGGAAAAAGATCAGGTAAATCAATGTAGATGTGAGGGATCATCCCACTGCTAAGGGAACACAGAACAAAAGGCTCCTGTCATTCATTTTATGGACTGGTAGTAGGGGGCAGGAAGATGAGGGAAGGGCTAGGAGTAGAAAAGTACTGAATACTAAGTCAAAATGAGAAAAAGTATCTTCAAGTTTTCCTCCCATGCAAAATTAAATCAAAATAAAATAAGACAGAATTAAATCAAAATGAAAAAAAGTCACTAAGAACCAAAAGCAAATGAAACAAACTTATCTGTACATCAACTGGCAGATTATGCACAGGAAATGCATGAAGGAAATCGTTATCTCAAGTAAGTTTAAAACACAGTCACTTGATATTGGATATCTAGTACAATATAATGTACAGATAAAATAACTATAAACTGCTTTTCAGTAGTTGTACTGTTATTAATAGTGGCATCATTAGTTTAATAAATCTATGTATCCTGAAACAGTTACACAATGAAAATCAAGAAAGCATGCAATTATCTTAATATCATGAGGAATTGAGATTTTCAGAATATACAAGAAATACAAATATAAAATCAAACACAGTAAGAAAAACTCTATAATCTTTAATTTCAATTGGAAACATCAGCATAAACTCAGGATTTCTTTTTCTGTTTAAAAGATTTGTATTTAGCCAGCTTTGTTAAGATTTGCAAGCAATAACAACCAGGAGCAATGAAAGTTTCTACTATCCCGGTTATGACTTCTTAAAACAACTTTATATAAAAAGGAACCAGGGCTCTATACAGAAGTGGACTTTATTTGTAAAATGGAATATCGTACAAGATGAGCCCAGAACATCCAAAAAGTCTGGAACCTACCAAGGACTACTGGAGTCATGTAGACAAGTCAGAGAGTGTAAACCTCCCATTTGCCATACCGGTAACAATTTGAGCATTAGTAAGAAAAGTAACTGCTAATATACCATTATCCACAAGTTTATAAGAATAATTTAAAAGAAAACATACCCTCAAGAGAGCAGGGAGACAGCACACAGGCTGGGAAAAAATATTTGCCAACGGTGTATCTGACAAAGGCCTAACATCCAGGATCTACAAGAAACTCAAATGTGCCAAAAAAAGAAAAAAAGCCCTATTAAAAAGTGGGTTAAAGATATGAATAGACACTTCTCAAAAGAAGACATACAAGCAGCCAACAGATACACGAAAAAATGCTCAGCCTCACTATTCATCAAATAAGTGAAAATTAAAACTACACTGAGATACTACATAATCTCAGTCAGGATGGTTATCAATAATTCAAAAACTAACAGATGCTGGAAAGGATGCAATGAAAAGGAGACACTTCTACACTGTTGGTGGGAGTATAAACTAATACAATCTCTGTGGAAAACAGTGTGGCAATTCCTAAAGGAACTAGAAATTGACCTTCCCTATGACCCAGCAAACCCTGTTCTAGGAATATATCCAGAGGAACTCAAATCATTCTACAAAAAGATAACCTGCACATGCATGCTTATTACAACACTATTCACAACAGCAAAAACATGGAACCAACCATGTTGCCCATCAAAAGTAGACTGGATTAAAAAAAATGTGGTACATATACATGATGGAATATTACACAGCCATAAAGAAGGACAAAATTATGAACTCTGCAGCAACTTTAGATGGATTTAGAGTCTATACTACTCAGTGATCTGTCACAGAAACAAAGAAGTAAATACCACATGTTCTCACTTATAAGGGAACCCTGAACAATTATCATAACACTACAAGAAAGGATTGGTAGTAGTGGGAAACTGCCAGCGGAGCAGGGAGCACATTTCATCAACAAGGGTACCTGATCTCAAACCAGGTGAAGTGGGGACCAAAGTGAGGTCCAAACTTTACCTGTATAATGACCATTTGTATACCTAACCCTGAATTGTACCCCACATCTTTAAAATAAATAAAAAGAAATGGCCGGGCTCGGTGGCTCTGCCTGTAATCCCGCGCCTTTGGGAGGCTGAGGTGAGTGGATTGCCTGAGCCCGCGAGTTCGAGACCCGCCAGGGCAGCCAGACCTCATCTCTACAATAAATCAAAAAATCAGCCTGTCGTGGTAGCGCATGCCTGTAATTCTGGCTACTCGGAAGGCTGAGGCGGAAGAATCGCCGGAGCCCAGCAGGTCGAGGCTGCGGTGGCCAGAAGCGGCCACTGCACTTCAGTCTGGACGACAGAGTGAGACTCCAACTCAAAAAAAAAAAAAGGAAAGAAAAATGGCGGACTGGCAGAGAGATTCTGTGCAGGGGGGCTGTGAGACCAAAGTCTGGGCAGAGGTCTGGGGGTGCATGACTCTGGGTGGCTGGGCCCCTCCTGACCTCGGTCCCCCCACTCGCAGGCCATGCTGCACCAGGAAGGCCACATGGACGATGCCCTGTCGCTGACCCGCTGCCAGCAGGAGGAGTCCCAGGCTGCCCGCATGATCTACAGCACAGCAGGCCTTTACAACCACTTCATCAAGTAAGCACCTGCCCACCCTGCGGGGTGGTCCCCGTGCTCCCCGTGTTCAGCACCTGACCCCGTACATCTCCACCGCTGACATCCACAGCCCTGTCTAACATACTTTTGACTCCTGACCTCTAAATTTGACCCCTAACATGACCTCGACGGCCATGACCTCTGACCTCACATTCCTGATGGTCTCCCGGCTCTCACACCCCTGACAGCCAGACGCTTGACCCTTGACCCCCGGCCCGAGTCCTGCTTCTCTGACCCTCTGTACCTACGAGGGAGTGAGTCCCAGTCCCAGCTCTGCCCTCGGCCGCCGTGTGACCTCGGGCCAATGCTCTCCCTCTCTCGTCTCAGTCTCCCGCTCTGCCAGACGGGTGTGTCTGTGGGAGTCCTGCGGGGCGGGGGGGGCGTGACGTGGGCGCTCCGGGTCCTGACTGACAGCGGCGCCGTCCGGCAGGAGCCTGGACAGCTTCAGCGGGAAGCCGCGGGGCTCGGGGCCGCCGGCTGGCACGGCGCTGCCCATCGAGGGCGTCATCCTGAGCCTGCAGGACCTCATCGTCTACTTCGAGCCTCCTTCCGAGGAGCTGCAGCACGAGGAGAAGCAGAGCAAGCTGCGCAGCCTGCGCAACCGCCAGAGCCTCTTCCAGGAGGAGGTGGGGCCGCTGCGGGAAGGGGCGGGATCTGTGGGCGCGGGGGGCGGGGTCTGAAGGGGCGTGGCCGCGCGGTGGGCGGGGCGAGCCCGAGGGATCTGGGGAGGAGGGGATTAAGAGAGTGAGGCAGCCAGGCTCGGTGGCTCAGCCTGTCATCCCGCGCCTCGGGAGGCTGAGGTGAGTGGATTGCCTGAGCCCGCGGGTTCGAGACCCGCCCGGGCAACTTGGCGAGACCTCATCTCTACAATAAATCAAAAAATCAGCCGGGCGTGGTAGCGCGCCTGTAATTCCAGCTACTTGGAAGGCTGAGGCGGAAGGATCGCCGGAGCCCAGCGGGTCGAGGCTGCGGTGGCCGCGAGCGGCCACTGCCCTCCAGTCTGGGCGACCGAGTGAGACTCCAACTCAAAATAATAATAATAATAATAATAAAAGAAAAACATAGCATAAGTTTTGGAAGATGCTGAAAAGTAAGAGAAAAATCAAGCTTTATCCTGGCCTTTTTTCTTTTTGCATAAGGTATTCTTCTGGGTAACCAAGACATTGATGAGAGGATAGCTCCCTAACAAATACAGAAGGAATTACAGACTTAGGATATCATTTTGTAACCCCTGATAAAAGACAGATTCAGAAAAATACTATGAACGACTTCGTAGAAGTGCACATCACGATCTAGACTAGTACAATATAAACAAACAAAAACGAAAAACCTGAACCTGACCTAGCCTCTAATTAAATGCCAGTTTACAAGAAATACAAGGTCAGAGGAACATGTTAAATGACACCACAGACAGGCAATCAACAAAATCCAGAATATGGATAGCTTTACAAGAAAACTCTGTTTTTGGAACAAATAAACCGCAAGAAAGAGAGACAAAGTGTGAAAGAGCCTATAGATTAAAACAATATTTAAGAAATATATTATACTATTACAACAAATAGACATTGTTTGGATCTTGATTCTACCAGATCATAAAAAATATTTATGGGCAATAGGGAAAATGAACTGGCTACTTCATGACATTAATATTGAGTTTTTTCCTTTTTAGTAGTGATGATATTATGGGTACATTTTTAAATTAAAAAGTGCTTATCTTTTACAGATACATAATAAAATACATAAGGTTGAAATTATGTATCTGGAATTTACTTTACGGTAACCTATGTAGTTTTGTTTGCGAGGTTGTGAAAAGTGAGGAAAGGCATACATTGAAACATATTTAGTCATAAATTGATATGTGTTGAAGCTGAGTGATGGGTAGGGCATATGGGGATACATTACACCACTTTTTTTTTACTTTTATATATGTTTTAGTTTTTTATATAACAAGAAGTTTAAAAAAAAAGCCTTGAAGGATGGATTCCACACACCAACAGTGATTCATTCCAAAGGACAGTTTTTCAGTAATTATTTTCTTACTTATCTTTCTTTGTGGATTTTCTAAATTGTGCCAACAAATGTACTAATTTGGATATCAGAACATACAGAAATAACAAAGAAATTCTAGAAGAGGACATGTAATTAAGATTCTCACTAAATTTGGAGAAAAATATCTAACAATATAAACTCTAACACAACTTTTTAAAATTAGATAATGGAGGAAAAGATGGAAAAGGAGAAAAAAGAAGTATACCAATTTTATTATTACTCAGAGTTGCAATGAATGTAGAACTTATGCAAAAAGCATTAAAATAAACTAAAAATATTGCCCCAAAGACAAATTTCTACAAATAGAAACCAAATATAGTTATTGATTGCTGCATTATGCAACAGCAAAATACTCACAAAAATATGCTCCCCTCATTGGAGACTGGTTAAGTAAACTATTACTTCCACGCAAGAATATATAGCTGTAATAACGAATAAGGAAGACCTCTATAGGCACCCATAGTGTGATCTCCAGAATTTATCAGATGTATGAAAAAGAAGAAAATACAGAGCAATAGACACAGAATGCTTCCTTTTAACTAAGAAAGGAGAGAATAAAAATTGCACATACACACATACAAACACTTCCACATCAACATAGAAAAACAGAAGAAAAAACAAAGAGAAGTGCACTTCAAGTAGAAGTGCCGAGAGAAGAAGGAAGTAGGATGGAAAGGACACTAGACTTTTCCAAATCATCTTGTGTTCAGCTTTGATTTTGGAAATATATAAATGTATTATGTAATTTTAAAGCAAAATTAAATTAAAGTGGGGGAAAGTAATCCTTAAACATGGAAAACAACATGCAACAAACAAGCCTAACTTCATTTCAAGTTGGTAGCTTAACCACACAAGAGGTGTTATATCAAAGGACTTGAAAAACACAGTTATTTAATAATAAATATGACTAGTCTAAATTCTCCAATTAAAGGAAGGAGACTGCCAAAAAGGATAAAAACACAAGACTCAATTATATGCTGCCTACAAGAAACGCACCTGAAATATCAAAACACAAATAGGTTAAAATAAAAGGACAGGAAAAGATACACAAAGATCTACAAAGAACAGAAAAAAATATATAGCACTAAAGCAAAGAAGCTGCAGTGACTACATTAAACATCAGGTGAAGTAGAAGTTCAGAACAAAGAATATTACCAAGGATAAAGGAGATCATTTTCTAATGATAAAGCATCAATTCACCAGTGGGACATAAAATCTAAAACATTTATATACCTAATAACAGAGCAAAAAATACATGGAGCAGAAACTGGATAGAAACTATAAGGATAAAGAAATAATCCAACAAATTAAAAAATTAGTAAAGGAATGGAAGATTTCAATAATACTGTCATGCAAACCTGACCTAGTTGACATTTATAAAACACTCCACCAACAACTGCAGAACAATTTTCTCAAGTGTACATGGAACATTTACTATGATGCGCATTTTCTAAGCTATAACAAACTATAAAAAAATTAAAAGGATTCAAGTCATACAAAATGTATTCTCTGAACACAATGAAATGAAATTAGAAATCAGTAACAAAAGATCTCTGAAAGATCCTTAAAATATTTGAAAATAACTCACATCAAAATAACTTATAAATCAAAGGCAAATTAGAAAGGATTTTGAACTGGAAGCAGAATAAATGAAACAAGATTGGAAAGTGGCAACTTTTCAGCAAGGCTTATGATTCTTTATTATACTTATGTGTACACTTGAAAATTTCAACAAAGCTAAAAAATATATATTTTTAAAACGTTGTGTCAGATATAACACAATAGAGTTCACCTTTTTAAGTCCATGAGGCTTACATCCGTTCTTCCTAACTTAACCACTATTGGGAAGCATCCATCACAATTAACTGCACATTTTCCTCGCCCCCAATCTCCAAAAACTTGCCTTGCCCCTCGATTATTTGAGAAGTTTAAGTAGAAATTTTTTTGTAAGGCATTTCAGGAAACAGAGGAAACAGTTACTTACCTTGGACTTTGGTACTGAATGTGTAACAGCCATTCTTTAATCCTCTGGGCTCTACTTTCACAGAAAGAAAATGAAATGAGATTTTAGGCCTTTCTTGGGACATACTCTAGATTAGAACACAGGCTCATCCTCAACCCTGTTAATCTATCTCTCATTTAACACAAAGAAAAGTCAGAAGGAGATTAGAACAGGCTTCCACCCTCTGGATCAGAAAAAAGGGCCACGATGACAGCTGACTTGGATTACAATCCCCTAGAGTCAGAGCCCTGCAGTGGAGTGCTATAGGTTCTGAACTACGTGGCTGGTTCCTAAAGCAGTCCCTTTGGAATTATTCCCACTCCTGGAATAGCATCACATTAGCACTGGTCTATCTTGAGTGTGCTATGAGTTCTAAAATTCTCAAGACCAGGTCTGTGGCTTGGAAATAACTCCTATTCTTCCTTCAGGGACTCAACTTTCTGACTTCCTGCCACTTCCCTGCATCTGATCCCCTTAAAGTTACAAGGTGAGAGGGCACAAGGAAGCAGCGATTCCCAAGGTGAAGCGAGAAAGAATATAGAAATGAAGCAACACAGGCCATTTGTGAATGTGAAGGCACTGTGAAGGAAGTCAAGTCCTTAAGCGCTCAAAGAAGCACAAAGCCCCATGCGACTCGTGATCCATATTGAAATTTTACCTCTGTACTTTACCAAGCCCCCATAAGGAAAGATACGCAAATGACGACACAAAGTCACACACAATCACGTGTTTACAGTCACACAGCCAGTCACAATCACCAAGTTAGGCTACGCTGTCAGAACACCAGGTCTTAAAACCCAAGCAAACGCAAGGCATACAATTACATCCAAACACCTTGTCAGAGACACATGGAGCCAAAAACACCCTTTCAAAGCGGCATTTTACTCTCTTCACCGAGTCATGGCACACACAATCCCACAGTCACACACGGCGCACACACAAACAGTCACATAATCAAGTACCAGGTCAGGGAAACTCGCGTTCACAAGCCCCGTGTCACAGCAACACCGCCATGTATCTCGAATTCACCGGCAAACCCCGGCCACAAGATACCGGACAGAGACACGGCCTCGAAGTGAAACCAGCACCTCCACACACCCTGTCACAATAGTCCCGTCGCACACTTCACAGTCACAAGCAAATCCCAACCAAACGAGCAGGAAACACAACCTCACAGTCACACGAGTATATCCCCAGTCAGGTAAGCACACGGTCACAAACGGCCTCGATGCCACGAACAACTCACGCTCACACAAAGGCGCTTACACAACACCCAGTCGCACACGCCCAGACGTGCAGCAGCCCCCAATACCCGGCACGCCACACACCGCAGCACAGCCACGCACGTGACGCCAGCGACAACTTCTCCGCGCACTTCCGCTCTGGCCCTCCGACAGTCCTACCTCAGCAGACGTCCGGTGGCGGGTCCCAGGTCGGGCGCCAGAGAGCCAAGCCCGATCTCGGGGTCGCCAGCCCGCAGGTGCGGCGCCGAGCTCCCCAACCGACGCGGCCCTCTCCCACGCGAGGCCTCCCGGTCTCGCGGACCAACGGAAACGAAGCCGCGCTCCGGACGCGGTGGCTCTGGGAAATGTAGTCCAGCCTGGGAACGCCCGGGCGGGCCGGCCAGGAAGCCGCGGGAGGCCGGATCCGCTCACCCTGTGCCGGGGTCGCTCTCCCACCTCTGGAGTCCGGCTCGGTGAGCAGGCGTCGGGCGCTCAGTTCCGGCTCTTGACAGAGCGAGTCCTGAGCCTTTCCCGGCCTCCCCTGGAAGTGAGAGAGGATAAGACCCTCTGGCCGGGCAGGTGCAGAGGAGGAGCCAGTGTTGGGGTGTGTGTGTGTGTGTGTTTGTGTAGGAGCCAGTGTTGAGGTATGTGTGTGTGTGTGTGTGTGTGTATGTGTGTGTAGGAGCCAATGTGTGTGTGTATGTGTGTGTAGGAGCCAATGTTGGTGTGTGTGTGCGTGTGTGTGTGTGTGTAGGAGCCAATGTTGGTGTGTGTGTGCGTGTGTGCGTGTGTGTGTGTGTAGGAGCCAATGTTGGGGTGTGTGTGCGTGTGTGTGTGTGTGTAGGAGCCAATGTTGGTGTGTGTGTGTGTGTCTGTGTGTGCGCGTGTGTGTGTGTGTGTGTGTGTGTGTGTAGGAGCCAGTGTTGGGGTGTGTGTGTGTGTGTGTGTGAGAGAGAGAGAGAGAGAGAGAGAGAGAGAGACAAGACAGACAGACAACAGGAGATGTCAGGTGGACCGGGAGTCTTTCAGTGGCCGGGTGTGGGATTGTATTTCTGCTTGTGTGTCACTATTCCTGCTGTTGGATTTGTGCTTGAAGCTGTGTGGTAATGGGAAGCTGTGTGAGACTGACAGAGTAAGAAATCTCTGCTGTTGTGATTTGTTTGTGAAGAATACCTGCATGTGTACTTGTTTTTAGTGTCCATAATTGAGCAACTGGTGATGATTTGTGTTATATAAATGTGCTTATTATTTCATAGTGTCTATAAGGGTTCGATGAGCAAATGAGCCTGTGTGTAATGGTGTCGGACAGTGAAAATACAATGGTCAAGTTAATCTTCCTTAATACTAATTGGATTATCTGGAAAAGGCAATCAATTGATATGACAAGTAACTTAGACATGGTTTTCTATCGGATCAAATAAATGTGTTATGGGAGGAATGCGATATCAACATAGCTCTTTTTTTTCTTTTAAAGAAAGATGATTTCAAAGTCTGTTGAAAAGTAACTGCGTTTTCCTCTGCCACAAAACCCTAAAAATAGATATCCACTATTCAAAGGTCATTACTGGGTAAGGCTGAGAGGCCTTATAATAAAATAATAAAATAACATTACACATTTTTTAAAAAGTGAATTTTAGCTGAGTACAGCATTAGTCGAATTTTATGAATTCTAGGTCAAACATCTGTCCCTGATGAGATTTCCTGATAAGAAAACCTTGCCTGGCAGAGAGAAAGAAACTTACGGCAGTAGAGTTTGTTGGTAAACCTTAACTTGTCTTTACTTCAAGGCTATTTGGCCTTTTTGTTTTTGAAAAATCACAAAATTATGAACTGCCAGCTCAAAGGACATAGAGTTGTATTTCACTTCCCCTTCAGAGGGAAACAAATTAAAACTTTCTCTGACTTTCAGGGCCATATACCAAATATTCGATCTCTTCCAGGTAATGTGACTGAAGTACCAAGTTTGGCGGCCAGGATTGTTGAGTGAATGAACTTGTGTGCATGATCAGGCACAGCTGTGTAAAAACAAGACAGTCAAATAGCACTGACTTGGAGTAGGTCAAAGTGGAACAAGAATCATGTCAAGAGTATATATAGGAGATACAGACTGAGTTTTTTAAGAGGTGACAGACACATTCTGGTTTCAAACAGAACAGCATGCATTGATCTAAAGTCACAACTGTGTGATTCTGGGTTTTCTCTTTTGGCTTTTGAACTGTTGCATGCTTTTGAATGCTTGCAAGAAAAAGGAAGCTATTGTTTAAAAGTAGAAGATGAGAAATTGTTAATCTAAGATGAATAGATGCCCATGTGGATGGGCATTATTAAACGCGAGACATTTTATATGTGTTGATATAATGTGATTTTTTAAAAGAAAGTATAGGAAGTTTGTAAGACTCATAAAAGTTACTTTAACCCCAAAAGGCTAAGGTCATTAGAAATACAGACTGCAGGAACTGAGGAAGATTTGTTAGACTACCATGTGATATAATTAGTATAAAAATAGTATATATATAAAGCCAGGCTCGGTGGCTCAGCCTGTAATCCCGCGCCTTTGGGAAGCTGAGGTGAGTGG